CTATCTTGAGCCATTACTAGCCTACCATTAGCCATTGCTTTCCCACTGACGTGTCTGATCTAATGTCTTCATGACTACCTGGTGAAACACTTTGAAATACATTTAAGTTAGTACCTAGTTTCCACTGCTCAGACAATGAATAGCATTTGAGGCCTGTCACAAATGATATCTCTGCTTTGCCTCCTGAAGTGTTTCTGCTGATATACTTAATTATCTTACGACTTTGTTCTGTTGCATACAAACCTCTTCAAATTGTAAGCCCACAGGACATGGAATTTGGGGTGATCTAAATCTGTACTCCTGGACCATGGTCACTCTAACTTGCCTCTAGAATAAACTATCCCATTTCCTTTGAGGTGAGAACTGTATTTTTTTTGTAGAGATGAAATAACACCTACATAGCAGTTGAATTTATTAAAATGAAAATTTGTGTAATTTTAAAACAATGTCTTCTTTTTTTCTGTTTTTGGACACTTACAGAAGTAGTGCCATTAAGGGCACATCTTCCATAAAAAGGAAAAAAGACAGGAAAAGAGAAAACAAACACTGTTGTGTGTGTGAATGATACTGTGCTCTGCTAGTATATTTGAGGTTTTGGATAAAATCTTCAAAGATAGAGGAATAAAAATTGAATATAGAGGAAAATAACTATATATGATTAAGATCAATGGCAGTACAACTGTCAGGAAGAAATAGAAAAAGAAAAACAAGATAAAGCTCACATCATCAAATACCAGAACATCCTTGAAAGTAACACAATGTGTTGTATTTCATAAGTCGATAAAAGAAACAAAATAAATTTAAAGTATACAATTAATTAAAACATAGTCATAAAAAGAACTAATATGTTATATACATATAAGCAAAATTATGTACAGTACCTACTAAACGATCTTAATTAATGATATGATCCCTCAACTAGATGTGAAAAACACATCACAACTACTAAAACAAGGATAAATCCTTAGTAAGTGAATGGAAAATGATATCATATGCCAGCATTAGTTCAAAGAAACGTGGAGGGCCCATTTTAAGGTATGACAAATAATATTTCAAGCAGAGAATATTATTAGCCATTTTAAGCCATTTTATAACATTAAAATATTTACTAAGAGAAAGTGAAGGCAGAGTAGTCAGCCTTGAAAGCTTGTGCACACAAATGACAAAATGCACCCAGCAATTTGTATTTATATATATTCATGCACACACATATGCATACACCTGTGTGTGTGTGAGTGTGTGTGTGTGTGTGTGTGTGTGTGTGTGTGTGTGTGTGTGTGTGTGTGATTAATGTAATTAAAGAAAAGGAGGCTGTGAACTTCAGCGTGGGGGATGGGAAGGTGCAAGTGAAGGTAGCTGGTAGGGGCTGGAAGAGGGACAAGGAGTGACAAAATGATGTCATTCTATTTGAATTAAAAACATTAAAAATAAGAGGAGCTGAAAAATCTGGATATTTATCCATCTATTTACAGGGATTCAAATTATATGAACAAAAAGTTACTACAACTATAAAGAGAAAATAATCTCAAGTTAAAATTAGTGATATCAATGTTCAGTTATCAACAATTAATGGATTATGGAGGCATTTTATGTGAAAAAAATCAAACCACTTTTGAAAATTCTTAAATCATGAAAACAACAGGCTTCACAGGAAGCTCCCCCCAGAGGAGATTTTCAGAACGTGCATTTTCAAGGGAATAGAGCAACTGAGGCAGTCAGTTGAAGGTCAGTGTTCCTACTGTGTGCTGTGTATCTTGTAAGTATGCCCTATATTTTTTCGGGACTATAAAGTGTAGTTTATAATAATTGTCTATTCCAGGGCACTGTGTGCAATCACATGAAATGATAATATCCATATATATTCTAGTTTATGGTTTACAAATTATTTTTTTTTCATTTTTCTTAGTATAGATGATTTATAGGTTAGTGGCTGGTTAAACTTATCTTTTAACTTAATGATTTTTTTCACTTTTAGATTTATAGAAAACATCCTTTTTAAAAAAAATTTCACACGCTTTAATTTAGTAACTAGGTTGTACTGGGTCTGTGCTCGATGGGAACAGAAGATAAATATTGGTGAATGCAGGTGAACAACTGTGTGTACGAGTTGGAAATTAGAAACTAAGTCTAGGTTAGTTGTCAAGGAGTTTGGTAGAGAATAGAATTTACACAGGTTTAGAGAATAGCATGGAAAAAACAATAAGATGAGAGAGTCCAATTGTCTTTAGATAAGAGAGTTGGGAACAACTGGACTAATCAAGAAAAAAACACATAAAGTGGCAGAACATTCAAATTATTTTTGAGTCATGCCCAGTACAAAGCTACATGCATCAATATGAGAACAGGTTTTATCACCTTTGTAAATCAGGTCACGTCTAACTGACTTTCTGTGCTTTTAAAGATATCATCACAGCATTTAATCTAGTTAGTAATTCCAGATCTTGGCCATCTCCACTCCTAGCTATTCTCATTGTTCCCCCTTCAGTAACCCAATTGAACATTTTGAAGAGACATCCTAACGCTTTTGCACTGGGTGAGCTTAGCAGCCTGCATCTATGTCTGTGCATTCTACTTCCCCAAATGAACAAAGACACAGTCCCCATGCTATGAGAAATCACCAACACATTGACTGAAACTAGCTGCTCTCCTCTCCTACCAATTCAAAATATCACCATATTTCAACATAACCAGTGCTTTTCTATCTTCTCCACATAATCACTTCTAAAATCCATTCTATCTTTACAGGTTCACGTACAAAGAACTAAGTGAGTAATCCAACTCAAATTTGTTCCAGTGACTGTCTGCTTTCAATAAATGACAAAATTTAATTGATGAGTGCCCAGACAAGAAATCTTAATCTTTGTCTCCCTCTTTGTCAACCTCTGATGAACTCGAGTTGCTTCTACCTAACATATCAAGCATACACTTAGCCTTTGTACTTTCACTTGTTTGTGTGTGTGTGTGTGTGTGTGTGTGTGTGTGTGTGTGTGTGTGTGTGTGTGGATGTGTGTGTGGATGTGTGAGTGTGTGTGTGTGTATGTACATGTGTGTGCACAAGCTGAATTCTGATGTTCCCTATACAGATGGCATATTACATCTCTCTACTCTAGTAGAAAGATTGTGGTAGTAATAAGTCAGTAATGGGTTTGGTAAAAAAAATCACAAACATTCATTTTAAAATCATAATTTAATCTCTTCCTTAATGTAACGTATATACTCATTGCAGAAAACGAAGTTTAATTTTTCTGGAATTATTAATATATACTAATATAATAAAGTTTTGAATCGCTAATTATTCTTACAAGACACAGAAATGTTATTACTGACCAAATTGTCAATGTTAGTAATATTTTTATTTCCATTTAAAATTTTAATTTCTGTGAGAATGGGTGCTTTGTGTCTACATGTTTCATTCCTCAAAGGAGATATTTGTCACCATATGTAGGCATTTTGATTTTTATCTGTAAAGGAACAAGTGGTGTTGGCATCTAGTGGGTAAAAGCCCAAGATACTGTGACATGTCCTGCCATTGTCACTCAATGTAACATGTAGCTCTTCTAAAGAGAATTATCCAGACCACAATACCAAGAGTGCCAAGGCAGAAAGAGCTTGCTGCAAATGACTACCGTAAGATAAAATACTTTTCAGTGTATGTGTTACAAGAGAGCGCATGAGTTCATCTGACTCTTTAAAGATATTAAAATCTGGAAAAGGAAAAGACACAAAAAGCTCCAATGTGTGCTTAGAAAATAATCGCTTCAGGATGGAACTCAAGTATTCATTGAATTAAAATACTGAAAATTGATCCCTCCCCCCCCCTCTCTCTCTCTCTCACACACACACACACACACACACACACACACACACACACACACACACACACACATTGCAGTATAACCTCTGCAGTGGCAGCTTATTCCCATCACGTGTGGCACTGGTGTAAATAATGTCTAGTATATACTTGCTCACATCTATTATTTGTATTTGGATACAGGAATGAACTCACAGAGAGGCAACAATAAAATAAATAATTTATTTCCTATCTGTTTCTAAGTCAAATTCTAGTCCATGTGTATGTTGCTAATAATTTCCCTTTCCATCGATTAATTTGCCAAAACCTATTCTATTTTATTGGGTGAGTGAATGTTTCAAAAGCATTTTGATTTGATACAAATTGCTAAATTGTAATGCTATGCCAATAATAAAAAAAATGGGAATTTTGGGTGGATATTGTATGGGTTTATTATGTAACATTACAGGTCAGAATATTGTGGCACTCAGAGGCAGGAGAGAAAGTGAGGCTGAAAAAAGGTGAAAAGTGAAGATGAGTGTTCCTTCTTTCCTTATGTGTATCTCCTCTTGCAATACCTGCTCTTCAGAATAAAGAAAAGATTAAAGTAGTGGGCATAGTATATATTTTGATGCAAAATAATTATGTCTACATTCTCCTTTCTGAAATGTCCCCCATCCTTTTTGATTCACACTTCTCTCCACTAAATAAACATGAGTAGACACTAGTGGTGATGTGAATTTTCTCTGCTACATTGTTCCTATGCCTTGGTTAGTCTCCCTCTTAAGCCCTTTGTATCTCATGAGAATGATCTGTGTTCTCAACATCTAGTCTCCAAGCCTAGGAGTTCATACGTTTTCTTGTGGATAATAAATTAATCGTGCACATCTACTAGAAGTCTGCATCTCAGAGATACATGTCCTTTTTTTGACTTAGGATTTCCCATCATCTTCCTATGTCAACTCCCACAAGACACAGAACTCTGAGTACTGTTCAAGGATTATATTGCATTATATGGATTCAGTTTTTTTCTGAATGCACCAATTAATATGTGAACTAGGGCCACTTCTGAATGATTCAGGATTAAATTTTATTTATTTCTTTTTGTTTTACAGAGACACACGTATCTTGAAAGTTTTGCTGGGAAGATTTAATTAGACTTATTCTTCCTTTTGGATTATGTGTATCTTTTCATCCACAGTCTTCAATTCTAGATGCAGCAGTGAGTTCCAGGTCTTATGCAGAAAGCAATCCTAAATTCATTTTCAGAGCACTGGGTTTTACAGTGACCTTTACTCGTTATGCACTCCCTCCTCAAATCCAAACTACCATATTCAGGATACCTCTTTTTGGCTGCAAGAAGGAAAGAATGGCTGGAATTAGGAAACTATATATAACATACCTATACAGAGAAAGTTCTAGAGACAAAAGTTTATAGTGTGACCATTCTCCAATGCTGGGGCAAATTTAAGTGAATTCATTGTTGCCTTATAGGAAGGATATTCTAGACTTCAGAAAGTGTCTTGGGCCTAAGTAGGTGTTCATAAATGACTGGGTGATGGCCCAGGAAAAGTTCTTGAAGATAGTTGTAGCTGAAGTTATCCTGTTCCTGCCCGGCTCCTGTGGCCCTCAGACCCAAGTAAACACACAAAGACTTTTATTATTTAAACTCTTTGGCCTAATGGCTCAGGCTACTTGCTAGCTATTTTTATATCATAAATTAACCCATTTCTATCAATCTATAAGTTGCCACGTGGCTCATGGCTTACTGGTATCTTTAAATGTTGCTTCTCATCACTGCGGCTGGTAGCATCTCCCTGCCTCAGCCTTCCATTTCCCAGCATTCTCCTCCCTCTCTGTCCTGCCTATATTTCCTGCCTGGCTACTAGCCAATTAGCATCTTATTTATCAATCAATCATCCACAGCAGACAATCATAAAAGTGGGTCATGTTTTATGTTCTGACTGGCTTTCTTTCTGCAGCTATCCATAGAATTAAGGATGCCCTATTCTGCTCTCATAAATAATCAACCTAAGCCTTGTGCCTTATGACTCATTACTGAAAATTATTACTAAAATTCATTGCTACTTAATTTTATCTTTCAAAAGTATTCAGAATTAGGCAATGGTAAACAGTTTGTTCAAATGCTCTCAAATTTCCTGGATACTTTGTGATTTTCTTTCCCAAATATATGAACTAAATTATGTCTATATGTAACAAAAGCATTGATCAAAGAGAAAAGGGAAGGAGAGTGAGAGAGAGGGATGGAGGTAAGGGAGGGAAATACACTACACTTGCACACAAACGGAGAGACAGACAGGAGAGAGAGAGAGAGAGAGAGAGAGAGAGAGAGAGAGAGAGAGAGAGAGAGAGAGAGAGAGAATATGCATTTATTTTTCACCCTTATGGGAATACCACAACACTTCTGAAATAATAGCTGTTTGAAAAGGCTTTCTTCAGATTTTTGTTTGTAGGGTTAATCTTGGTAAGAATGAAGTGTGCATAAGACCCCAATCCACCATGCCACTTTTTTATGGTGTATGATTCCATTAGCACACATTTATTTACACATTGTATATAAAAGCTTTCATATTTCAATGACAGTTGAACTTATAGGCTGCATAAAACCTGAAATATTTACTTACTTTATTTCTAGGTAAAAAACAGTTTACTAATTCCTGCTTTGCTTTCAATTCCTTTTGAATCAAGAAGAAAAAAAAAAAAAAGAAGGATGAGAAGTTTGTAGCTGGAGTCATGAGCAGATTCTACCAATACTGGTATTCTGCCATGGTGAACTTTGTCATGTCTTTGTCTAGAATTGCAAACTTAAAGTCTCTTTTTTAAAGATAGGATTTTATGAAACTCAGGCTGACTTCAAAATTGCTATGTATCTAAGGATGGACTTGAATTCCTGATTTCCCTGAATCTGCCTCCCCAGTGTTGGGGTTAAAGAGGTTTGCTACTATATCAGGCTGTTATTTTCTATGTCATAGGAATAACTCTTGGGAGTTATGGCAGGCTCTAGGGTAGGCTTCTCTTCCTAAACAAAGCTTAATTTGTGGTTGAGCAAAAATTTGTCTTGAGGGGCTTGTTCTGTGCATTTCAGGGTTTTTTTAGCACCCGTTCTGAAAACTTTACCCAACAGTTGCCAGTAGTACAGGCTGTGAGAAGTGTTCTCCAAGCATTTCTTAATGTCTTCTCAGGTGCAATGTCACCCCTAATAACAGTGTTCGAATAATACTGTGAAAAGACAAATAAATAACCCCTTGTCTTCAAATGCATGAATCACATATTACCCTTACTCTGAAGAATCCATCTCCTTTACTGTCTCATGAAAGAACCATTTATACTATTATAATAGCTTCAAATGATAGAAAATTTCTTTAAGTAGTATATGAATCTCAATTAATATAAAAAATAAACATGTACAGAATTATTCCCCAAATAATTCTTTCACCTACAACTTCTTTTTGTTTTTATTTATCTGTGTGTTTGTTTTATTCTTTAGATTACCTTGAATTTTTGCAGGTATCAGGGAAAGAAAGACAATGTGATCTCTTTGATACAAAAATATGCTGCTCTGCATTCATAATATATGTGAAATTTAAATAAAAATACCCATTCATAATAAAAGAAATTTCCAATTTGTCAGAAAAAAATTAAAAGAGTGGAGAAAGAAAAAAATATCCCATTTTTAGATTTATGTGTATTTATAGTGTCTAGAAAATGCAGAAGAAAACTAAGTCACACAAATGGAAATTCTTGGCATAGTAATCTTAAGGACAATAATTACTGGTAGTATAATGATACTTTATATTTCTGTTTCATGTAAATAATATTTAAGTTTAGACATTCAGAGGTTGGAGAAGCTCAAATCAAAACACTGTATTTAACACATATAGGACTACTGTACTCTGGACAGCTGTGGTTATCTGCCCAGAGCTAGGCAAGTTTGAGCCAGTCAACAGCCCTGCATGAAGCCCAACTATTAGCTGAGGAGCTAATGACAGTTCATGGCTTCTGAGGGGAATATTTTTTAAGGGTGTGTCTCTGGTTGGTTGGTGATACTCTGGTGGAAATCTCCACACCCAAGAGTACATGGAGACCACTAATTTCACCTAGTGGGTTATAGTTTACTTATGTGTTTGTATGTGTGCCTCTGTAGATCATTTGATCTCCTAGAGTTGGGGTTGTAGGTGGTCTTGGGCTGCCCACTGTCAGTGCTCAGAACTGAGGAGCTGAACTCAGGTCCCCTTTAAGAACAGTAAACATTCATAAGCACTCAGCCATCTCCTCAGCACCAGTGCTCTATATTTGTAGTGAATTTCATTCTCTTACCATAGATAGATTGTGAGATATAAAGTGATAGTAAGCCTACTAATTTCCTTTCCTAAAAAAATGTACCTCTCCTAATATTGAAAAGAAAATAACATCCAGACAGAGTGACAGTTATTGCTTTTCATACTATTTTCGTCTGTAATAATAAGTTCTCTGTAGGTTTAGATAGTGTATAATTTCAAAAAGAGCATACCCTTTGGTAGTAAAAGAAAAATACGTAAGACTATTGACACACAATATAATTTATGCTATTCTATCATCTAAGTGATTTATAATTTCCAAGCCTGTATTCAAAGTAAATTTTACATTTTGTTGAAGGAATGGATAAGTAACTCTGGTTATTAGTAAGGGCACCTGAAGACGTATATTGTAAAAAAAAAAAAAGGCATAGGCTTGAAATATACTTACATAGTTATTTACTAGTGTTAATTAGTGTTAACTACAAAAAATATAGGAATATGACCTATTATGTATTGGAGGCCATATGAAACCGGGGGTTTGTAAAGGTTATTAGGCTAGACTGTCTAAAATGAATGAAGGAATGGGTTAATTTATTAATATAAAAATAAATAAGTACAGTGAAGCCAGCATTCTTATTTTGCTTTTTTTTTGTGGTTAATGCATGTGTATCACTTCATAAGAAGACCAATATCTCACTGTTTATCTGCTGGAATAAAATAGACTTCAGGGAAAATTTTTCACCAAAATGCAGTAGATGGTAGTGACAAGAAATACTTAAAAGAAAACCAACAAGGAATGTAATTGGCTTGTAATTCTGAGAAAAGAATACTAGAAAGCATTTCACTAATTCTCTATTATTGTAGAGTACAAAAATATAAGTTATATATTCTTACACTGAGTTAATGACACCTTACAGTTGATAATGCTCAACAATAGTTTTCCAAAAAAGGTATAAATCCATTAGGAATGCATACTAAATATATATTTCTGTGTTAACATAATGGGATGAATATTTTAATTTTAAACTTTCTAATCCTTTTAGATTTCAACATATTGGATTCTGAACACAGTGGAGGCCAATCTTACTGTGTGTCATATCCTGAAAATGCATGATATTATCTGTAAGTGGGAAGAAATTAATATTAATACAATATTATTGACTAAACTACATTTCTTCATGTCTCACCAGATTTCCCAGTAGTAACTACTTTCTGTTGTAATTCAAAAACTCCACAGTAAACCCAGTAAAACAATATTTTCATTCTTACTTTAAAAAAAATATTTTTAAGAAACAGCAATTGATGCCTTTGAAAATCCTTTTCTACAAATACCCCTGACAAATGCTCACATATTACCTGGCAAAATTGTGACCCAAAAGAGCAGAATAAAAAGGAAGAGATGAATCTTCATGGTACAGTTTCTTAGTCAAGAAGTAACAGCAGATCTTCTTTTGAAAGTCAGTTTGTTTTGCAATCAGGATGCAATGACCACTTTTATTTATAGATCTTCCTGGAAAGGACTTTTAACTACTGAAGTTTATAAAAACCAAAACTATTTGTGTGTGGGCGTGAATTGTACCATTTTTCAAAGAACATGGTCATAAAACTATTACTAGTAAATTTCCTCAGGAAAGCAAAACCTGTTTGAATTAATTTGGAATGAACTTCCCAATAAATAACTTTTCCTGAACTATTTCAATAAGGAATATTTGTTTAAAATGATTGCTAAAAGAGAAATGTTGAAAATTACAGCTACATGGCATTCAGTTTTATAATATTTTTAGTGCTAACTGTTCAAATGTACCTATTATTAAATCATTCAGTGATATCTCAGAATTTTAGAGCTGGAGATTACGATCGAATTCTTGTGTTTTACAATTTAAAATAACTAGAGGCTTAGAGACCAAGTGATTGTTTCGGTTATAAGATGCAATTATTTATATATGACATGACCAGGAATTCTGTATTCACTGATGATTGTGGAGAAGACTTCCACACATTTTAATGGTAGCTTATTAATTTTTAACAATTACCCATTCAATTCCAACCTTCAAAATCTAATACTTTCCATCATTCGTTTTATGGACCTGAAAATGATGTCAGATTCAATCTACATGCTTTTAATATCCTTATTTTACATATGGTAAAATTAAATTGCTGCCAGTTGACCCAGCTTACAGAAGCTGATATTGTAAAAATGAAAGCAATGGATTCCCCATCACAGGGTCAAGTCAAGTAAAATACTGGCCTGATGTTTTTAAACTTTACCTACTTAATAATTCCCAAGAGGGCTAGTTCAATCGAGATTTCAGAGCCCCCTCCCCAAGTCTGATTTGGTAGATTGGAAATGGAGGTTCAGCATTTGCAATACTGTTAAGACTAAGCACTGTTATTACTATTGAAAGGGAGTGTACATTACACTGGTAGACCTGATCTGTCCATTCCATACAGAAATAAATACATGATAGAAAGAATAGAACAGATTCATAGACTATGGAGCTGGTTGGAAATTTCCATCCAGCCTTTTCACCACAGATGAGAGAAGGGAGACAAAGATAGTTGAACTTACGAAAACCTGATGATAACACATGCAACAAATATTTCAGGCTATAAAGTAACAATGGAAACTGTGGAATGAGGTCAAATGTCAAAGAAGGGATTCAGGTTCTGTGGAAGAATATTTTCTTCCTGAGAAAGAATAAAGTATGGAGAATTCACCATTGCTGAACTGGAGAAAAAGTTCATTGCTATTCTACTATGTAATAATTAATACATGGATATTATGGAGCATTGACATTTAGAATTCAGTAGTTGACTTCTAGTTCCATTCATTACTGGACACATGGGATATCATGAAAACATTTTTACTTTGGAAAGTATTGTACTGGTATAGCTTGGATAGAAAATATAGATGAATAGAGCATGAATACCAGGACATTTTCCCCTTACAATTGGTTATATTTAAAGAATTTACAAAGAAATCACATTCAGCCATTAACCAAATAGAACTGGGGTGATGTTAAGATGTTATGATAAATTTCATTCTAAGAAAAAAATTACTATTGGAATTATGATGTCATGTAATGATAAAGTATCAATCCATCAACAACACATCTATATGCATGTATATGCTAACATAGAATCCTCAAAATACAATGAGTATAGAGCTAAATGTGACAAACTTGAATGAAGAAATGAAGAAGTCGTGAATATAATGACACTTGGGGCACTAAAACCTCACTTTGAGTAATAAATTATGTAAGTAGAATTGGTAAAGAAAACATACTGACACATCTGTAGAATATTCAAACCATTAAAAAGCAAAACACACACACACACACACACACACACACACACACACACACACACACACACACAGCAAAACACATATTCCTCTCCAGTGATCATGAAACATCTCTCAAGCAGCCAATATACTAGGATACAAATAGTTACAAACAAGTTTTGAAATTAAAACTAATCAATTATGCATGTTAGAAACCAACATGTGAAGAAAATTTAAAAGGTCATAGACGTTTGATAATTAAACAATAAATTTCTAAATAAATAGTGTCTTAAAAATAGACCAAATGTAGATCTCATCCATTTCTCTGGACACCAGGAGGGGTAATGAAGGACAAGGATCGAGGGAAAGAGAGCTTAGGAGATTGGGAGATTCCAGCTGGATCAAGAACAGAGGGAGAACAAGGAAAAAGAGACCATGATAAATGAAGACCCCATGGGTATAGGAAGCAGCAAAGTGCTAGAGAGGTCCACAGAAATCCACAAAGATACCTCCACAATAGATTACTGGCAATGGTCGAGAGAAAGCCTGAACTGACCTACTCTGGTGATCCAGATGGCCAAACACCCTAACTGTTGTGCTAGAACTCTCATCCAATGACTGATGGAAGCAGATGCAGAGATCCACAGCCAGGCCCCAGGTGGAGCTCCAGAAGTCCAATCAGTGAGGAAGAGAGGAGGGATTGTATGATTGATAATTGTTGAGACCATGATCGGAAAAAGCACAGGGATAAACAGCCAAACTAGTGGAAACACATGAACTATGAACCAATAGCTGAGGAGCCCCCAACTGGATCAGGCCCTCCAGGTAAGTGAGACAGTTGATTAGCTTGGACTGTTTGGGAGGCACCCAGGCAGTGGGCCCGGACCTGTCCTTAGTGCATGAGCTGGCTGTTTGCGACCTGGGGCCTATGCAGGGACACTTAGCTCAGTCTGGGAGGAGGGGACTGGACCTGCCTGGACTGAATCTACCAGTTTGAGCTGAATCCCCAGGGGAGTCCTTTCCCTGGAGTAGATGGGAGTAGGGGGTGGGTTGGAGAGAGGGTGGGGGATGGGAGGAGGGAGGACAGGGAAATCCGTGGCTGATACGTAAAATTAAATTAAATTATAAAATAAAAATGAAAAAATAAAAATAAAAAAATAGACCAAATGAAATAGGTGCATTATAAACAGGCAAATCATGATGCATAATAAAATACAATTTTAGGGTGCTGGGGTGATGAATTAACAGTTAAGAGCATTTACAGCTCTTACACTAGGCCAACTGAACTATGTCCCTAACTGATACAATACCGTAACTATCATTTTTGTTTTTAATGCACATATACCCCAAAAAGTAAAACAAGTAGTTTATAAACTGTATAAAATTTAGTCTTGTTTTTATTTATTTTTCTCTCCAATGAATAGTTTCTCCTCCCTCCCTCCTCCCAGTCTCTCCCCCTAACCTCCCCTCTTCCCCAGATCCACTCCTCCTACAGTTTCCTTCAGGCCTTCCAGGGATATCAAGCAAACACAACATAATAAGATGCAGTAAGACTAGGCACAAACCCTCATATGAAGGCTGGATGAGGCAAACCAATAGTAGGAAAAGGGTCCCAAGAGCAAGCAAAAGAGTCAGAGACAACCCCCACTCCCACTGTTAGGAGTCCCGCAAGAATAGCCAGCTTCACAAACAAACATGTGTGCACCAGCTCAGACATATACTGGATCCTAGATTGTTGTTTCTATCTCTTTGAGCCCCTATGATCCCTGCTTAGTTGATTCTGTGGGCCATGTTCTTGTGATGTCCATGACCCCTCTGGCTCCTACAATCCTTCTTCCGCCTCTTCATTAGGGTTCCCCTGGCCCAGCATAGTGTTTGACTGTGGGTTTCTGCATCTGCTCCCATCAGTTGCTCGATGAAGCCTCTCTGATGGCGAATGGGCTAGGCACAGATCTATGAGCCTAGCAGAATGTAATTCTGAATCATTTCATTTATTTTTTCCATTAGTGTTCAATTATATTTTAGGTCTCTAGGTGATCCAGACTCTGGTTCCTGGCACTGTCAGGTATAGGCTTTCTTTCCTGGTGTGGGTTTCAAGTTGGACCAGTCATTGGTTTGCAACTCCCACAAGTTTAGTGCCATTATTACTCCAGCACACATTGCTGGCAGAAATGATTGTAGGTTGAAGGTTTTGTGGCTGGGTTAGTGACCCAATCTCACCACTGCAAGCCATGCCTGGTTACAGAAGTTGAGCGATTCAGGCTCTATATCCCCCATTACTAAGAGTCTTTGCTAGTTCATAGTAAGACTATTTTTACTTAAGTATTGTTTTGAGTCATGAGTTAATCCAGGAGGAAATACAATAAAAGCTGGCTTTTAAAATAATCATTATAAGAAAAAAAAAGCATTAGTGAATATTTGTCTACATAACAAAGAAGAAATTTCAGAATAAAGGCAATTTCAATGAGCATATTCTAGTGAATTTTGACGAAAATAAAAGAAACATCCTGATCTTTAACTTCATCTGCTTGAGGTACTTTGTCAAAATTTAACCACTTTTTCCCTCATGTGAAAACTGTCTAAAAAACGTGATCTATGCTTGAGTGTTAGGCGAAACAGTGAAAGTGGGGAATGCTACTGATTTACTTTATGGTGAGCATATATCTCAATAACAACATATGTCTTGGCAAACTAGAGAAAGCAGAAAGGTAAAAGAGAGTTGAATGGGAGATGACTGGATGTGAATTTAAGCTTCATTGTAAGACAAGAAAAATTCAAATATACCAAGGCTTTCTACCTGACTTAGTCTTTGTTATAAATTCTACAATACTGGGGATAAATGATTTCTGAACTTAATCTTATACCATGCCATTTTTCTAATGTATTATGCTAAATTCAGTCAAATTCTAAATATTTCTGTGCATCAATTAAATCAATATAACATTGCTTTTGTCTAACAATGTACATGTATTTGATTAGTGAAATTAAATCACAGATGTTACCAGCATACCATGCTTGAAAAATTATTCCAATACTTTTTCTCTCCAGACACTGTAAATAAATATAAAGTGCCATGGTGTGGTCATATTAATGCAATGATTCTCTGTCAGTTACATTAATTTAAGAAG